TCTTTACATTGTAGACTCAGTCGAGACAGTGGACGTGATTCTCATCCCATTGTTCATGGAGGGTAGTTGCCTGTCCATACCGAGTAATCTTGCGACATAAACTCGGGCAGTGTACCACTACACTATCCAACTCTGGTCCAGCTGTATTGTTGGCAGGAAACTGAAGTAGAAAGCCCCCACACGCTAGTAATAAGATGAGTTTGTACATAGCGATCCTCACAGGCGTCCCCGGTCACATACCCTGAGAGCTTCTAATCTTTAGCTTAAGACTTCTAGTTTGAAACAAACAATAAAAGTTGCCCCACAAGACCCCGTACTCGAGCATAAGTCTGAGTTGAGGGTTCGCGTGGTATGTGGGTAATGATTAGCACAGACTACAGGGAATTGCCGGCTTATCAACCGTTTCCCAGTCTAGATATAGTCCATGATCTGCAAATGACCAATAGTCCTCCGTACCAGGCCTCCAGTGCTTGGATGGAGCTGGTGATATCGACGGACATCAAGAGGCAAGTGTGCCCAATGAAATTTTAATTTCTCTAAAGCTTTGAATGGAAATGGACAACTCCTGGCCAACCGATCTTGTATTTCACAAATACTAGTGGATAGAGGGATTAACCGAGACATCCAATAGTAGAGCTAGCCCATCCTATCCTCTGGGGTCAAGCAAAACTGCGAGTGTTGAAAGGTATCGCACGCAAGTCAATCGCGCAGTTAGACCGTATTTGCTAGGATGAATAGGCTACGAATTATGCGGGAGCAATCTACTGAACTAGCACCCACTTATGTCCTAAAAGATGATCATTTGCCAGAATGGCCTGCGTTTAGGTGCAGATATGAAAGGAGGTTGTTGTATCTTTCAGAGATTGGCTATTTGTGAGACTTGCTACCAAAATCTGGAGATGGAAAGACTCAGAGATATTCCCAGGCTCTCTTAAGCCGTTCAATAGCATGAAGATTGTGGAAAATATCTTGTTAATTTTGGATTCATATTCATCTATGCGGTGCCAAGTCCCTATTCAAGTACATAAAGGAAAGTTTCCGGGCTGTAACGTAAATTACGATAATTATCTATGGTCCAAACATGAAAGGGGTATTTAAAGGCCCTAGTAAAAGTTTATACCTATAGGAGCCCGATAGGCAACGTATTATCATACTAGTCAGTCATGATATCGCTCAGTCAAATGTCAAGACTTTCATCTTATTCTCACATGGTCAATTTTCACAAGTCATCACCGACACATTTTTTCTGGTCAATACGTTGGATTCGAGACCAGACGTTGTAATAATTTCATGGCTGAAAGATTTCGTTTGATTTTGCGTCGTGCAAGCATGCGGTTTGTGATATAAGCCATGTTCTAGTACTCTCCGAGACACTCGGTATTTCAGGAAAAGCCTAACAACTATGCGTTACTCTCCAATGAAGAAATTAGCATTTGTATGAGATGTGATAAGCCGGGACTAAGAAGTGAGGATATTTCAGAAATGTGAAGGTGTTCAGGACTAACATGCGTCTTGGTAGAGAGTAGGAATTTGTGCCCTGTCACATACATAAGGGGTCTTCTGCTCGTTAGGACTTGGGGGATAAAGACTTAATACTTTTCAGTGGTATTTGTTGGAAATATCTCGCAATATTTCTGCGACAAAACAAGTTTATTAGACGAGTATTATGTTCAGATTACTGCTAAACAAGTAGGAGTTTTATGCTGTATATATAACTACATGTCCTATAATCTTGGATTACTAGGGCTTGGCCCTCAACATCTATGCAAACAATAAGCTTGTATCCAAAATCGAACCTTACCAAATAAAGCCAGAGTTTTATTTACCAATTCTCGAAGTCGTTCACGGTTTTAGATTCAGAAGAGGCTGCAATAAATTTCTTATCTCTCGATCTCAGACTAAAAGGGGACAATAAAATACACAGTACAAGCAACAAAAAGCCTGAGCCCTGGATAAAGGGTGCCTACGAGCTCATCTTCTGCTCTCAGCGAAGGCTAGAGATTGTCACTTGGAAGATGTGACAGGAAAGAGAACGGGCGAGAAGCGCGGGATCAGGACCTAATTGGGATTTCTTCTAAATTTGATCTAAGTTTTGCTATCAACGCCGTCATTTATGTAGAAATTCATGCTGTTGGAATGAGTTGGGCCTATATACAGTGATCCCTGCCGCCTCCACCGGCCCTAAATCCATAGTAGGACGTAAAGCTTTAGCTTAGGACCTTAATAAAACAACAACAACAAAGCCTAAGCCGCAATATAACCGATTGCGGCGCCATTCAGGCATAAAAGTAATTAAACAAGTTCCTTGTGCCCATGTCATAAAGCTGCTTTTCCGTCCATAGGTAGCCTGGATCACTACTTTTTCATAGATTCAAACCCCTATACAGCACTCAAGATCGTGCCGGGAACCTAGATAAAATGGACGGCCCATAAATACGGAACACTGTGTATCCCTATCTCCAACAGTATTTCTTACGATTCTTTAGCTCATGTCTTTGGGGTCTCAAAGTGGAGATTAAGTCCAACACTAGCCAGGAGAGCTTCTACTGTCAATGAGTCTAGGGCTTCCTCCACTTATCAAGACAGTTCAAGAAAGCTAAGCTAAGCCACTGCGCCGCAATCATTCTGTTTCAGGGTATTTCTGATTCGACAGCCGAGTCTCCAATATTTTCAGGCGCTAGCAATGGATGCTGAGAGGGCAGGGTGTTATTCTTTCTGGTCCATAAACGTTTATAGCCCCCATCTAGTTGACCTCTCCGACTCTCCAAAAGAGTAGCAATCTCCTCGGACTTAGTACTGGAGTTGGTGCTACGATAACTCCGCACCTAGCGGATTTTATGACTATTTTTAGTCGCCATAAACCATAAAATGGCCGACGTCTTGTCGATTATAGAGGAGAGAGAATAAAAGCCGAAGGACCCCTCAAAGTAATTAATCGAATGAAAACTTGTGTGGTGTTTTGCTATTAGAATAAGATAATAGAAGAGATGAAGTAGGGTATATACAGTTTTTAAGTCATAGACGTCTCTCGTCTATGAGCAAAGTGGACATAGATGTTCCGTATAGTCTTTGGATTGAGGAGGAATAGAACAAGTCCCGCGCAACGAACCCCCTATATTATGCTTGTAATTGAAACTAATCTCTTAGAGAGAGAACTGCTAGAATTTATTTTTTGTTGTTCTATCCATTCGATGACTTTACTAGGGCATGCAGATCCTTCCTTCTGTAGGCTGGGAATAACTTTGCCTCGGGTAGTGTATATCCCATCTTTCATCTCTTCTACCGCTCCCACAAAACAGCGATACCCCTGAAAAGTTACCATTCGATCACGCACTATGAGGAGTCCTTTGGATTTATGTTCTCACACCTATAATTGATGAGATGCAGGATATTTGTGGGTGTATGGTGACCGAGGAATTTGCAAAAAAACACTAGATGATGTAGGGCTCTTCTAGTACCGATATAAGGACTAGACCCGAAGAAATGGGTGCCCTTCTGGAGTGTCGGAGAAGCTGACTAGCTGGACGCTGTAGACAGTGTATAATACATTCCTGGCTCTATAGAATCTCATGTTAGAGCTGGAAGGCCATAGCGGATACCGGTGATAGGTGTCGAGTCCTCTTCCACGCTCCCCAAGTTGAGGATACTGAAAGAAAATCTGCATTTTTCTACATCCCATGGCCATTCGCTCGCCTCTCTTCGCCTCGTCCAGCCATCCGGGCTTTAAGCGCTAGTATTGGATGGCTAAATCACGTGTCGGTGAGAGCTGGTCCCACTGAGGCAAAATTTCGATAAACGTAGCGCTGCGAGTCAGTGGCTTATACCCGGCTGTGGCTCCTAGACCCCACCACCACGGTGCAGGCTTACGTACCTAAACATCTAGCGTGCCGGTCGAGCCAAGTGTGTGCAGCACGCATTCGTCCCGTATGGCAGCTCAACGAATGCTGACACAAGAGTCTGCACCGAGTAACGCACAAACCCATTCATGTGTAGACTCCACGTATCGTTTCAATCGAACAAATCTAGATTTGCATACCAAATAACTAGCCTATCAGACGGCGGTGGCAGGCACTCATCACCGTGACGTTGTAACTCTAGCCATCATGAGGACCTCACTGCCCATCAATGTCAAGAAGGGAGATACGCCCCATGGTTTCTGGATTCATTGTCTATCTCTATTACCCATACAAATTGCTACTTGATGAGATGAGCGAGATTGAAATTCTGCGGAACCCTTTTCCCCTCCATTCAGGAGACCATCGCGTCCACCATTTTCTCCACCTATCTACCCACAAAAGCACCATCTCGCACGTCCCACATCGTTTTCAATGCTATCAAGCCTCCCGCCCGAGATTTCTCAGGTCAGCGGCATAAAACATTCTACTTTGCTGCTGCCTACATTAATTCTTGCCGTCAGTCAAAAACCTAATGTCAAATTGTCAAGCATAGCAGTTGGTCACTCTCATGCCTTTGAGTCTAGAGGAGTTTCCCACATGGATATAGCTAACGGTTATCTGCTTTGATGACATTGTATTGGCATACTGAGCATTCCCACTCCAATAGTCTACTCTAGCCAGTGTCAACTGTTGTCAATGGATGGGTACTCTAGTGCCAACGATGAAAATTGAAGCATCAAACCCTCTTACTAAGAGAGAAATTATAGTCACTTTCATCAGCCATCACGTAAATATTTATTGTGTTGCGAATTTTCATACTTCATGCGAGCCAATTTTAAAAATTGATAACCAGGCACTCCAAGTAAGCTACAAAATAGTGAGCTAGACCTCGAGCTAATTGCGCTTTTTGGCTTATTATTCTGGCAGTTTCAATTACCAGCACTAGTTAATTTGCATAGATATCGATATTTTTAATGGCTCGCAAATTGAAGAGGAATTAGGGCAAGGCTATAAGTTTAACATTGTCATGTATCAAGGTCATTCACAGCTAGTCACGCAAGGTAAATGTGATATACGCTTTGTGGATTTCCATTTTATTAGTATTTAAGAGCCACTAGAAAACTGCAAGAATTCTGGCGTGTACAACATGTGCCCACTATAGCCTGGTATAGACATCGAATTAGCATTCTCATACATGAGGAATGGATCCATTATATACGGAGGCATTAGCAGTGAAGATAAATCCTGACTAAACGGCGTCGTGATGTCGTAGAGGTTGTCAATACACGAGTTCGGTGCTTTCAAAATGTCGAGCGGGACATCAGTACTACCCCCATTTGACACATTTGGCGTAGACAAGAGCGGTACAGGAGCAGGCGAGGTTTGAAATTCATCAGAAATACTTTGATCGACTATTTTAAACGGCGAAGGAGCTGGAGGAAGGTAATGAGGCTCCTTTTCCTGGTTATTTTTGGGTTCTTCATTAGAGGCGTCATCATCTGCCCGAACGCCGCGTGAAATCTCAGCGGCAGTTTCCTGAACGTCTCTCATCCAAAATTTTAGTTCTGTCATAGATGGCCAATCTCCGCCACCCTTACCCCCACGTTTATCACTTTCCTGTCGCTTATTTTTTGACCGACCCTTTACTTTCGGCATGAAATGTGCGCGTCGTAGGTGTGCTGCAGCATTATAGTATGCGTTGTACTTCTTTTTTTGCTGATAGCATGCTTTGCATTCTGACAGAGGAAATACAGGTTCGGGATGGCTCCTTCCATCCTGAGGCTGTACGCAAATGAACCTACGAACCAATTTTTTGTGCTCTCGATCCTGGTGGCGACGAAGTTCATGCTCACCTCGGAAGCCCTCTGGATGACTTTCGCATTGTCTGCAGTACACGCGTTCATGTTTAGGCCGCTGATAGGTTGATTTGGATGTGTTTATCTTTTCTAATTCTTTCCTGGATCTAGTAACTAGGGAGGTTTTACCGTGAGCCATAACCCTCTTCCCAATCCCTTTCGGCATGAGAGGTTGAGAGACTGCTAGATTGTTCTGTTCTTGTAAACGTTTTATACTCCGAGTTGATGAGTTTGATGATGAGCTACCACTCGATAGGGATCTTTTCATATCTCCGCTGCAAGAATATTGTGCTTGGGCCTGGGACACACTCTTGAATCTACAATTCTCAGGGAAATAAGTAATTGGTATCTCTTGAGAAGGAAAAAGCGGGTATTGAAACGTTTGGTTCACGTGACTAGCATAAGCATGACTGTCTAGACCATCTCGAGTCATCGTATCTCTATCTACAAAGTTGTAGTTGCAGCTCTCCTGCGAACTTGTTGCTCTTGTTTCTGTGCCGGATGATATTGAGGCAATGACAGGGGTAGAGGCCGGGGGAGATGAAGTTGCCAGCATATTAGCATCTAAACATTGATTTAAGTATGGAGAGATAGACTGTTCATTGAGACGATTGACAAAATCAGCTGGGTCCTCAAACCTTTGAGGTGTCGATGAGTGCGGTGATGAATTGAGTGTAGGGAAGGAGAAGCCATTTAAATTTTGTCTGCTAGGTGTGATTAATGATGCTGTCGAGGGATTATCTTCGATTAATTCGGTATTCAGTGGAGACGGGAAAGCTCTTAATTGCCTGAATTTAGGTTTACTAGAACTTTGCGAGGAGCTATCGGGTGGGCTTAGTCCAGTCATAGGTGTGTCTGAGATATTTGAGACGCTTCTCTGCATTTGACTATAGTCCTATTAAAAGTTCAGAGGTTTTTCCGAGACAGCAAAGATCGGAGTTTTCCTACCACTAACATTTGCGTCGAATCATAGAGCTCATGGCTAGTCATGCTTCGGGGAACATGGCTAGCACTTCGTCGATGCGACTGACGCTTATTTACGGAGAGATGGTGCATGTTATTGATGTTCCGAGTCCCTAAGTGGTGGGCTGGGAAAAGCTCCATCTGGGTGGAATTAGGAAGGCTCTCCATGATGCACCTTGAAGCTATATTGAGGATGAATGCTGGATTGGTCGGTGACAATGAGTTTTTTAAGTGAGGTGATAGATGCGGGCTCTTTAGTGTTATCTATGACAGGATTGCTTGGACAGACGATCAGGGCTATCTCACTGCACAACCACGGTTGGGCACTGTTAAAATGTAAATAGCTTTTGTATCTTGTGAACGGTAAACGGAGATACGATGATAGACCTGCTATATGTAGTGTCCAAGACAGGCCTTTGTATTCATCCTCATGGGTGGCTGAGCTAGCGGGGGTGCAGCGTGCCGGAGAGCTGGTGCCGGGGTAGGGGATATCTCACATCCCCCGGACGGGAGATATGACGAAAATAAAAGACACGATAGACCGGCCTATTACCCGATGATATCTAGGGCTGTTAGCTTGAGCCAGTGCGTTATTCAGCATTGTAGGGAGCCAGGATATGGAACTTTCAGTGACAAGGGCCAGCAAGGAGCTATTTCGGCAGGGATGAGGAATCTTTTGGTCTAGAGTTGCTGCGACGTATAGACAAGTGGGCACAAGCTTCCAGACTGTGCTAAGCGACACGCGCGAAGAACAATCCAAACCTGAACAGGCCTCTCAGTTTCCAATAAAATTGTACAGATTAGACGGGGAGAAGCCAGCTCATAGATTGCCGTTGCAGGCTATGCGCCCGACAACTTTTATTGTGCGCCCTCTAAATATCCCCGTCCCTGCTAGAGCTCATGCATTGGCGTTTTGCGGGAGATGCACTTGTCAAAAGCACCCACTTAGTAATCGGATTTGAATATCCGCTTCCAACATGTACGGTTCCCTCCATAGCAGCCATCCAAAAAAATCAGTGACATCATATTTACTCAGCCCTCGATCGTGATCGCATACCAGTGAAATGAATTTTTCTGGATGAAGCGCGGCGGGGGATACCATGGCTTGACTCGCCATTTCGCAGAAATTTGAGTTGTCCAGTTCTATCTTCATCATGTGCTGTGCACAGGCATTAGATCAAATGTTGTTAATAAATAAATTTCCATATTCTACTGGCTGAAAGATTTTATTATTTGGTTTATCCTGCATTCTTCCAGAACCCAATACCATAGTACGTGTACAATTGGCCTAACTGCCCAATGTAAGTGTCGGTCCATAGAGGAAGCTGCACTGACTTGAACAAATTAATTACTGCAGTGTCACTGGCTAAATGATGCTTCACCTAGATGGAACTTCGAGACAGGTCGTCGGGTCAGATATGCGCTTTGCAGCCATTGAATTCTGCACGTTACTCATGGCTCCTCGTGGCACATCCTTGCAGGGTCCTGCTGGTATTTGGCTTAATTTGACATACATCCCATCTGTGGCGAGGATTCGATGTGACTGGCGGGTTCTCGCGGCATGCCAAAATCCGTATTCCGAATTTGGACGACTATCCGTGTGTTGTAGAGACTACTTGGACCGAACATCTGGTTTCACAACTTTCCATTCGATTCGTGTGCATAGGGGACTCAATGGCTTGGCGCCGCATCCCAGCTCTTGATGAAGTAATTCCGCAGATTTGTCAAAGTCGACCCGTTAATCATTTTTAGGAGAAGGCTATATTTTTAACAGCTCATAACTCCCCATGTTGAGCATGGATCTCAGATGACGTTCTTTCAAAGTCTAATTAATCGAGAGAACCCTTGTGAATACATTTCAATTATCGCAGAAAATCTTTTTGCGAAAGATAAAATAGTGATTCAGCCCAAAAGTTTTGAAAATAAAGCGTCATGAAATCCATCAATCACAAGTAAATCTTGCTTTCAGCTGAGATGGCTTGGTATTAGCAAATATCGAATGAGCTTGGGGGATAACAGTCCCAATCACTTACTCTCTATTGTCTCTATATTTAGAACCTTAGTCAATATCATGTGGTCTAATTTGTACCTGCAGGGATAAAGATCGTAACTTACAAGATTAGACAAGGGCCCACATCTTAGCGTACAGGAAGATCCGATGCCGCTTATCCTCGTATACTTGTAAACGCTCCATCGACAACACATCACGTTAAACCAGCTTTGACATACACACGTTATCAACTCATAAGCTATTTTAAGCTTATCAACGATAGCTACAGCAGCATCAATTTCGTCATAATTCACACTGAAATGATATGCTATTCATGGTGCAGTCTTAATCACAGCATTGAAGGGGACTATTCTCAACAACTGCCAGTGGTATCCCCTTTGAACCTCCAGCTCTCACTCTAGAGTCTCCAAAGCCGAAATTGAGCTTCACCTTTGTCTTCACTTCGATGAGGGTTCCCAATCGATTTCGCGGACTACATCGTCTTCATCTTTCAGCACAACCCCCTAGGACCATTACTATGAAGCTAACCACGATCAGATAAAATGGTAGACTCGAAATCCTACTCATCATCGACCCTTAATCATGGAGTAAAAGCTATCCGATGAGTTTCCAGAGCGTACCCAGCACACGATACGGTGATGGTGGACTAGATCAAGTCGGCCTCGACAGTTACAAAGAAGGGAGATTTGGATTGATATGCGCACCTTATGTGGCTCCGATGTCTAGGCTTTGCCTGGCTGGGGCTACAGATTTTTTGAGGCTTTCCCCGCACATCTAGTTTTCATCGCTATAATTTTTAATTTTCCTGTGTAGAACATTTAGTGGAAAGGTAGCTGAATTCCACAGGTAAATACGAGCTGAATGGCTATCCATCATGGGCAATACATCAATGATATTTGAAGCAGAAAAAGTGGATAGAAGCACTGTACAAGGTGTGGCCTGGGTCAGAAAGGAGCCCAATGTGCTAGATAGTCTATGACTCAAGCAGTATAATAAATAAACCTCTCTCTCTCCCGTCAGATGAAAGGAATGTTATAGCAAGCCTGTAAGAGTACACTAAAGCGCAACCTATTTGAAACGCACAGATCATTACCAAGATTCGTCAATCTTAAGTAAACAATAATTAGCATTTGGCCATGAGTCAAATTCTTACAGCAGCCCTCTAGTGTCCGTGAACCCAATATCACATTTCCATAAAATTCTGTATCGCTCTAGCCAAAGTTGGGGGAAGGTTTGCAGCAAAATCTTACTATCGCCAAGTTTTCTCTTCATCTTAGAAGGTTAAATTATCATAAAGTTCATGCCTAATCGTACAATTATGATATTCTTTGTAAATTATTCCGTATCTCCGCCATTGTGACGTTTAAAGCTGCCGGGACTCTCATCTAATGCCCAAACAGCCACATGTTGTGTGATTTAGCCATCGCAGTTTTTAACACCCCACAATAAAAACTTATCACTTATCAGTAGTGACCTCTATCAGCCTGTAAGAGGAATACCCTCCTAGATTCGATTTCAGTCAAATTCTCTAGTATAGGACCTGGACTATGAACCAATAATTCAAGACTTGCAACTACCTTCTTCATTCTCGACGAGGTTGGCTCCAACTAATGTTAGATAGAATCTATCACTAGTTTTAATTATCGCACTATCTATAATATCAGTTTCTAGCCTCGCCTGGCCTCCAATTATAAGCTCAGAACCCTTTGGATGAATGGATTTTTATTCATGGCGGGCACAAGCTTAGCATTCATAAATTATGACACGAAGAAGGCTAGTCTTTCCACGATAGCTATACACGACGATAACCCAGTCTAATATTTGAACAACTCGCGTAGTGGGTCCATTCGCTGATACCACTCAAGACCTTTGTGCTAGGGACTCTCACCTTTTGCTCAACCGTTAAAATCCACCAAAGGAAAGATATAAAAAGTATTTGGCTACCCTAACATGCCGAAACCACGTTTCATATAGCCACCGCACTAGATATGGCCTCACAGTCCTCCCTTCCTCGAGTGAGGTAGGCGCCCAGGCAACCAAACTCTAACTTAGTGAGATGATGACGATGAGGCGAGCGGCTACACCTTCCATCGTCGCCTGTTTTTCAATTATCGGTAGCACTCTCTAAAATCGCAGCCTTGGCGCTCGTAAGTGACCTCATGTCGAAAACACCCGAAAGAATGTGAGTCCCAGTACGCCCATTGTGACCTCGGCATTCGTTCGACTCACGCCCCACCTACCTGTTCTCCCTCAAGATGTGAAGCCCCATTAGAGCAACAATTTCTTATGGAGTAAGACCCGAGCTTTGTATATTATGACTTGATTTCCTACTCGCGGGTATAAATAGCATCGTAACTTTACTATGAGAGATGACCAATTTTTGATGAAGTAAATTCCGGATTGCAGTTGGTGCGACTACTTATTCAGTCGTGGAGGCAGGTAGATTTGCTATATAAGTGAGTTGAAGGACTCGCGTGAGAATGATGAGTCCGAAATTGACGGGAAGTCTTCGATTTCAAGTAAGTTTGAGATTTTTTTCGACTTCAATTCAATTGCGATTACACCGGCATAGCTGGAAGGTAAAAAATTCGTCATTTCCGACTCAGAACGTTATGATTGTCGTTAGGTGTACTTAAGTAGCAGCACTCCGTTTTGGCTGGGTAATCTCTTTCTAAGCATGTAGGAATTGGGTAGATAGATGGACGAGCTTATAAGAAGGATGTCTGCACTCTCGAGCGAAGTGCGGTATCGGTTCTTGAAAACGAGCTTTCATATTTCGGTTATACTGTGTACGGAATAACATTTTTTCACAGAATTTATGATCCTACACGGGCCATTATAGCTTTGTGGTGCAGTGGTATGCCGTCTCAGCTAATTCTCACGCGGGACTTTCGGAGCTTGGACTTCTTGCCGCTAGTGAGGGAAGTTACCTAATTCGTTCCGGTAAAAGAAGCATCAGTCACTGCGCGATTTGAGCATCTCACAACGAGCGGAGCGGTATGCAGACATAAACCTAAGAAAGTTTGATGGTAAACCGAAGCTTCCACCGGGGTTGGGCGATGCGATCGTGTTTCACCTGTCGGTCTACTATGTTGAGTCGGGGGACTATTCTCAACACCTGTCAGTGGTGTCCCCTACGAACCTCCAGCTCTCACTG